TCAGAATTATTGTTTAGATTTGTGTTTTGCTTTTCATTTCAATCTAGTTTTGAGTAAAAAACAAATACATAAAGAAAGCCGAAAAACATTTGATCGAAAGACCCTTAAGACAACAGTACTGTACAGACAATACAGACCTATATATTTGACATAAACTAATAAAATAAAACCAATTCTTTGGAGAATATTATATCAATATAAGAGAAGTTAAAACCTTTAATCTCAATATATATATAAAGTTTTTTGAAGAGATTTTTTTCTTTCAGAGAGTTATTAATAATTCTTATAATAGACAAAAAATTTATATATAAAACAAAAATAACATTAAAGATAAAAAACAAATGATATGCGACTAAACACCAAACACTTAACGTTTTATATTTGTTTTGTTTTGTCTGGGTAAGAATTTCAAACAGTCTGAGTTTTACTCTTGAAAGCGACTTAAAAGCATAATAAATGCGATTCTGGTGTCAAACAAAAAGCCTCTCAATAACTAGACTTATAAGTTATAACACAACTCGTATTATATACTAATTATGTATAGAATTAACTTATTGTAAATTAATTATTTAATGGATACTAATTGTATTACAAATATATATTATAAATTATATACATGTTATGAATATTATACAAATGAAAAAACTTGTTTTTTATATAAACATAATCTGTTAATGTATTCAATAATTTAATTGATTTTTCTAAGAAAACACAACACAAGAAATTATATAACAAATGATTTGCACGAACGAGAAAGTGAGAGCCCTGTGCTATAAATTGAATTATTTGATATCAAGTATAATTAATTTAAAAACTTGTATTACAGTCACACCTTATTTCATAGTTATAATTCCCATAAATGTCGTATATATAAACTTATAAATTAATGCTAAATAGTTGTAAAAACTTACAATTTACAATTTTATGTATACGAAATTTATGGGAATTATAACTATGAAATGATGTGTGATTACAGTATAAAATACTGTGATTTTACCAAAATATATAAAACAATGTTTAGTAAAAAATGTTTATTTTAAAAATATTTATTATACAAAAAAGACATATATATTCTGTAAATTCCTTTAGGATATGGCAAACAGAAAAGTGAGAGAGAAATGAGAGTCTCTTCTTGTTATGAAGAATTGTGTTTTGAAAGTGAATTAGTTTTCTAAACAATGCGTTAAATAAATTTGTATTTTATGCGAAAAAATGTTTTATTTATCACACAATATATTAGAGATATAAATATACAATATACTGTATAATTGTTATATATAATTTGTCAAAACAGTGCTGTATTTACATTACTTTTGTGAAATAAATTAAAAAAGATTTTGTTATCTATTAATTGTTTTTTCTTTCTTTATAAATATACTTATGTTTCGGAAAATTTCAAAAATATATACAAATAAATGATAATTTTTGTCTATAAATCACTTTGTGTTTAATCAAATGTAATTAATGCATCAGGGTTGGCACCAGTACATGTTATGTTTATTTATAGATTAGTAGTCATTATGAATTAATAATTTGTTTCCTTTGTATTATCGGTCGACTCAACGATTAATAACCCTTTTTGGCAAATATTGAGAGTATTTTGTTATTATAGATAACACTATTAAAGTTAATGCAAAATAATGTGAACATTATATGTTTGCGTTCTATTTGTATATTTAGATTATTAATAATGTGTTTTAAATCTGATTTTTTATATTTTTATACAAAAGGTTATTTCCCATATCATTAGCAAAGGTAAGACATATGCACAGTCCTTATATACAGTACTGATAATTAATGTTATTTGTATTGATGTCATAAATTGGATCAAAAATTAATCATCATTTGTAAGTCAATCAATAGTTTTTAATGAAATTACCATATTTTATCTTAAAACCTTTTGTTTAAGATATATTTTATCATTGGGAATCAAATAATTTAATTTAAAATATAATAATTAGATGTACGGTATATACCAAATGAAATTTATTTTTGGTAAAATAAATATATTTAAATTATATTTAATAATGGTAAATTTGAATATATTATCCACTTGTGTTTTTAATGTAACTATATTTTTAGCCTAAATATATTTGCTTTATAAATATATGCAAACCTAAAGTCTAATGGATTTGTATTTCAGTCTTTAAAATGTTTGTCTATTCATTGAAAATAACTTTTTCGTTCACTTAAGACATATGACTTACATTAGATGAGGTGTGATTAGCGAGATATTCACCACTTATAGTGAAATTTTTTGAAAAACTCATTGGAAAAACAATCTGTTAATGAATATCGTGTCCAATAAAACACATTTCAGATGTATTTCAAAACCAATTTAAACGACGACTGTTTTGAGAATAATAAATCATTAATCAATTAAATCAATAAGTTCCATGTTCATATTAAACCGATAATTGTTATTATATAGAAAATTATATCATCAACATAATACACGGTTTTAAATAATATGTTTCACTTTATAAGATAAAACTGTATTCATATCTATTAATATAGAAAAAACTCACAGTTTTTACAGATAATTTTATTAGCAAGATTATTTCCCAGAATATTTGATTTTATAATATAAAATGCCATAAAATGGTGAATTTACAGGAATTTTAAATAATATTTTTTCAGTTAGCACTACATTAAACAACTAAAAAATTATTTAATGGTTATTATTTGATTTTTGAAAATCATTTACAAATAATAACAATAATATGAAATATAAGACATATGCATATAACAAAATTATGGGTTCACAAAAGCAATTCAATTTATTATGAATATTATATTTACAATACATTTGTTAATATATATACTAAATAATAAGTTTATTTAATTCAATTTTCGCAACAAAAAAGTTACATTTTTATTATAAAACAGTACTTTTCAATGACTTGTTTGCTCGCGTATAAGCATTTAATCAATGGTAATAATATTAGAAAATATATTCAGTATTAATAAGTAGTATTGTATGTACGGTATGGTAGAGTACATGTCTGTTGACGCATCATCTATAATGCAAATATCTATACATTTTATTTATTTGATTGCATTTCTGATTCTCGACTGTATATTCAGTTGTCTTTACTGTACTTAAGCTATGAATTCCTATTCTATAACACATTCGCTATTGTGTTAGCGTTTGACTTATAAATAGATAACACATGTCTCTCTCTCTCTCTCTCTCTCTCTCTCTCTCCATAGCCTCACAGGCACTCGTCGATTGAAGTGTTGAATTAAATTTTAATTAACTATTAAAATGTTTAGGCATTTGTATGATACATCTAGAGATGACACATCTATTTTGCAAATATCACATTTAAAATAGGTGTTGATTTAATTGTTTCCTACATATAGTTCTTATGTCCTGTAACTGTAGAATAGACACAGAAGTTGTGTTTATTTATAGACAATTAAAAAGTTATAGACATGTGTTATCGAAATACTTGTACAAACAATTATTTATATCTTTCAAAAGTATTTTTAATAAATAATTTTGATGAAAAGTTTCAAACTATTTTTGCAATATATTTTAATAGTTTGTTTGTCATTATAATAATTGATATTTAATAATAAATTTGTTTACTAGAAATTGGTTTTATTATAATTTTGTTTTTAGCAAACAAATCATACATAATAACTAAAATTTAAAAATGTCTATTTTAAAACAAAGAATATAAAAGCAATCCATAATTAATTGCAAGATTTTTATGACACATTTACATTATTTTTGGGCAATATTTCAAAATATTGTTTCTAATATCTCATCAAAAATAAACATTTGCTATAAAAATATATTTACACACAAATAACTAAATATATTTTACAAAAATTTATTTCTTAAATTAAAAATTGTCATTTTGAGAAAACTTTCTTCTAATTCACAATAAATTATATAAAAATATAAGCATTCAATAATTTCAATGGCGTTCCCACAGACGGCAGAAGCGATACAAATGGTTAACAATTCGTTCGCTGTATATATAGAAATAGAGGACAAGAATATTCTGTACAAGAATATTGACAAAATATATTTAGTCCTTAAGCAAAGGTGTGATTATATTCGCAAACAATATATGTGTTGAATATATAGTCCATTCAAAGAGTTGTGTCCAATGTGTGGACACAAAAGACTATCGAGTTTGAAGATTCAATAAGTTTTGTTTTATAAACATTAAGATTTAGGCAAACATATCGTACAATCATTTTAATCAACAGTCAATTCTGGTAAGGAGTTAAGTACTAAAAATATATATTTTTTAATTATCAGTTTCTGTATTTATACTAAAATTTTTATTACTTTGTATATTAAATTTTGTAATATTCTTATAAATTATAATAATAACAACAATAACACTAATACACAAGTGTTGCAAAGAATTTTCGTTATCATTGATCACTGCAAAGCTCGTAATGAATGCAATAAAATTTGCTCTAGATTACAATTTCTTCAGACACTAATTGCATGTTTTTAATTAAACAGTGTTTTAAAGTATTTGGCAAACAATGAGTGAAAATGATTAACAGAATATCCATATCCTTAAGAGAATACTCGGTATGAAAAGGGAATAAAATCGATATTTCATTTCACGATTCCTTTTGTCGTCCATTCAATCGATTTAAATATTAATATGAATACAATTTTTTGCGATAAGAGTTTATTCTATTGAAATGAAAACTCGGAAAATTCTGTGAAATCCCATACAATTCATCGCATGAATTGATTTATTCCTCGCAATTCACTATTGAAATCGAGATTCACTATCAATCCCATTGTCAAGACAGGCATCACAATTACCTTATTTTTCAACTCATAGCACAACGTATATCACATATCAGTCTCTCTTTCTTTCTCTCTCTCTCTCTCTCGTTTTGAATGTGCATTTGAATAGAGGTTACCATAAAATACAGACACCAAATGCTAACCAGTCATTAGGCGTTCACTTCATGATTGCAACATCTAATGGATGGACGGGTCATATAAGCAGCGAATGTATGGTTGGATTACATTTCAGCACTTTATCTTTCATCTAATGATGTCTTATGTCATGTATTGGCCAACAAATTACCTCTCAATTCACTCATTACATAAAAGAACTAATTAAAATTTAATTTGTTTTTTTCTTGTTGTGCCATAAATTCTCACCTGGTTTAATACTTGCAATTATTGTCGAGTATTTTAACTAGAATTTCATCTACAAGTGAAATGTTTATTTGCAATAATTATTAACGCTTCGTAAGACCAAACACTCTCTTCTCTATTGAAATGGCACTAGAAATCAGTCATTCAATGATTTTCAATAGACTTATAATAGGAAAATTTAAAGAGAGAAAAACATCCCTTCACTTAAAAGCCCGCGATTGGTATTTCCGCACCAATACCTCCGCAACTGTAGTGAAAGACATTGCAATTGAATGCCAGTAGTTATCACACATTTCTTGAGACGATATTATAATATTTTCAATTTTCATTCATTTACATATGAGTGAAGTTTTTGAGTTTTCGTTTGGCATTTTATATATTTGTGTGCATTTCTTATTTGTAAAATTTAATAGTATATGTAAATTGGATTTTATAGGTCTCTCTATCATAGACTACAACACAATGTCATATCAAAGGATCTCATCGACAGCTTCCGTCCCGAAGCTAAACCCGGCGGTCAATGGGAGCGCAAAAGTCAACTCATTTGAGTCCAATTTGCAGCAAAATCAATGCCAAACAGATTACGATAATGTGGACGAAAAGGCAAACATATATCACGAAACAAAAGTCGTGATAAACGACGAGACGACTAAAAAAGAGGTCAAAAACGTTAATAAAAGCGATCTGTTTGTTGACGAGGAGTACAATCAAAACGTGGCCGACAGTCAAACGGCGGCCGATAATAGGGACGAGAATCAGGAATGCAATTGTTTTGAGTGCGAAATTCGGCGAAACTCTAACTTTTCAACCGAACAGTTGCCGCTCGACATACAAATGCCGTTAACCCTTATGTCCGACTCTCTTATGTTTTGTACCATTTTATAGAAACATTATATAATATAAATTATAACTAAATTTTGTTATGGAATTTTCTCAACAACACTATTTTGATGACATAAAATTTTTCTGTAATCATTGCCAACACAAACAATACTAATACATATCGATATTGGCATCAAAGCTATTCAAACATATGTTATTGTGTAACGTTTTTCAGATATGGTTTATTAAATTGGTTTTATATAAAATTTTTGAGGCGAATAGTTAACCACCAGTTGTGACCATAAAATGATTGATTCAATGGTTTTAAGCATTAAGAATGTAAGAATATTTAATAAAAATATTTCGATTCATTACTTATTGTTTACATTTCTACAGAAATTGCTTACAGAATATTCGTGTAATGATTAATAACACATTACTTAACAAATTTATTATTATCCCATATTGGTTTACAAAAATTTAGATAATTTTCATAATGAATTGAAAGAATATATTAAAATATATAATTATATATTAAGATTGTTGTAAATTAAACACAATTTATTAATTAATAAAAAAATACTTATGTTTCGTCAAAAATATGCTAATTATTAAAGATTTTATTCTCAAATTATTTTCAGTATATTTTACTCATTTTAGTAATAAAAACTCCGCAAAACATACATAATTAACAATTAAACCAAATAAAAAAATGTTTGTTAGTAATAATCATCATGATAATTGTTAACTCCTGTATCCGTAATTAAATTGTCTGTTTAAGTAAAGCATTTTTTTGTAGACTAAAAGGCCATTAGGGAGGTGAGGGGGCGGTTGTATATCTTGGTGCTAAAATGGGTGCACTCTATATGAGATCATTTGCGAACCATTTATATAATAATCTACTGAAAAAGAAAGTGTGTCTAAAATTGGATAAAACTCTAAACAAAACACATTATTTTCAGTCATTCAATCAGATCGACGAGACATCCATTAAATCAGTTTTATGGTCAAAATGAATGAATGAATGGAAAAATTGTGACCAAAAGGAAACGCTTTAAAAGTTAATAAAATAAACACTAATTATTTATCAAATGGTTTGCAATCATTTCATAAGTGAATTGAATTTAATAGAAAAGCAAAAATACATATTTGTGTTAAAAAGTGTTTTCTATATGCCTTAAATAAATAGGCTTTTGAACGAAAGGACACATTTGAAATGTTTACATATTTTATATGACAAATGGGATCCGTTTGACAAATAGGATTCAAATCTCTGTTATACTATATTTTGTCTCATATATTGAATGGCTATAAAAATTGGATGAAAACCGTTTTCAACGCACAAAACAAACTATATTTTGTTGTGAAATTGGATTTACAGAGACTTCACATTTGGGTATTATTTTTAATTTAAAATTCAAATATAAGAAAGTTTTTAGATTTGCGAGAAATCACCATTTATTGAATGATAGAATCGATTTTGTAAACTGACGGCTAAATATATTTATTTGTTATTCACTTTTGATGTGTGTTTCACTAAATTTCTATAACTATTATATTTGTGATGAAAAATATTTTAGATATTATAATTGAAAATGATTTGAAGCAAAACATTGAAATTACTATTATTCGTACTTTGCATAAATTTCTGTGAATTCAAAATATTCTTCAATTTAAAAAGGTGTTTATGCAAAAAAAGGTAAAATGTAATATTAAATAGTGCTAAATACAGGCAAATATGCATTTTTGAGGATTAAATAAAAATATCGTTAAAATTTTAGTTTTTAATTCATTTACTTTTACATCAAATTATATTTTCATATGAAATAATAATATAAAAATTTTTGCTATTTAGAGGATAATTATTTATAAAATATTCATATTCAATAAAATGCAAACACTAATCAAAATTCCTTAAAAGCAAATGTATGTAAATTACTGTTTTCTATAACTATTTTATTCAATAAAATAACTTTCACACCATTTGTTACAAATCAATATTGAATTTGTGAAAAAAGCTTTCATTTTATTAATAAAAATTAGATATTTTCAATTAAAATTAATGAAGAAAATTAACTTTTGTTTTATTGATTAATTATAAGCAATGAAAATAACTGCATAATCAGTATATAGATTGAAAACATCAGTTCTAACGGCACTTCACTAAACACCCGACACTACTCTCGGCTAATCTACTCTTAAACATAAGTGAACACAATATATAGACCTCTATTGCACTAAAATTATTACAATTCAATCAATTTCATTGTTTGTATTACTATTACTATTTCTTTCATTCCCTTCAAATAGGTTTTACCCAATAACGAGAAAAATAATTTAACTATTTTTTCTTTCGTATTGTGAAAAAACTGTTCAAATGTTGTGAATTCTTTTTATTTAATGCACTCTTGGGCTCAATAAAGACAGAAATACTAGGATTTAATCGAGACATTTAAATACAAGACTGGAAAGCATAGGCTATATAATCATTATTTAAATTGTTTTTACAAATTCCTCGTCTGTGTGTAAACTTTATATATCACATAGTTTTCCACTCAATTGTGTGGCATTAGTGCAAAAAATTGCTGTTTTATTACAATCAAACCAATTGTCTAAACATAGCCAGAATTATTCAACAATTCCTAACACAAAATTTTACAGAATATTCTGCAAGAATAAAGCGCCAGAAAACAACTACTGGCGTAACAATCGGTTCATAAATACATTGGGACTTTGTATTGAAAAATTATGTCTTATGTCACGTCTAGTGATTGGACTTAACATTTATTATATCGATCGGTGGACTATCGCTACCGTCGACTCTTGAATCGGATGCCTATCTTATCAGCGAAAACGACTTACGACTGCATTAGAGACACTCGAGAGTCTACTTTTGATAAATCGTTTAATAATTACGCAAAAAACAGCGCTTTTAATGCCTATTAAATACATTATTATTAATTAGGATAACGACTAATCGATTAATTATTATTTTCCATTGTATTAATCAATTTACACTGTATTTCACTGAATTTTGATGTAATTTATATATATTTTGCGGCAAATATTACTTAGAAGTCAACACTGATATTAAAGCACGAGTGCGTCCGTGAACTCAATCTATTTGTCCCGTTATTTCAGTTAAAAAATAAAAATAAAAACTTTGTTTGTTATATGAATGTTATATTATAAGACATTATATTATGTCTGCGAATAAATTGAAATAAACCTTTGTTTTATATTATAATTTAAATTTTAAACTTCATTTATATTCATAAAAATGTGAAAAATATTGTCTGCATTCTTGCAAATTAACATAAATAATGCCAATCAATGGTCGACTGAACTAAAAAACGTCTTAAAAACTTTTTAAAGATGTTTTCTGACATAAAGACTACTTATTTCAATCAAAATGTGTACACAAACTCACTGTCGATGGCATTGAGAGAGAGAGAGAGAGAGAGAGAGAGAGAGAATTGATGAATAAAAATATAAGAAAAAATAAAATATTAAACAAAACTTACATTTTATGGTTGAGAAGACAAATGCGTTGAATCTCTTTATTACTGAATTGAATTATGATTTATTACTCGAGATATTTAGTGTAAAAATGAGTTTTTTAAATCTAATCTCATAAGAAAGTGGAGGTTATTGTTACTAAACCATAGGGTAATAGTTATCGCCACGACGTGTCAGTGGGCAAAAAAATAGGTCATTTTTACTGTCATACTTTATACTCGCTAATACTATTTCCACTAATTCACATAGATGATAATATGGTCATTATATAAAAAATGTCTGGTTTAAAGAGCATTTTAAGACATCTTGGTTATTGTAAAAATGTTAAAGTAGTCTATTTGTGATAGACATGTGAATCTTCAGCGCCCGTCGCCTATCAGAGCGCTCGTCATGTTTTAACGATAGGCTTATGACAAATATATTTCGTTTTACATTCTTCTTATATTATGTAAGATTTGATATTTTTATTGAAATTATTTGTGAAAAACATATAACAAATCTAATATATAGTTATAATAATAGAGTTATATCATGATCAAAAGGACTTTTAGTGTGTGCAGCCAATTGCTTAATGCCATAACTTTATTATTACAATATATCTAATAATAAAAAGCGGATAATTTATCGTTCAGATAATAATAAAAAAGTTTTTGCACAAAAAAATTATTTCAAATTATTGGTCTCTGTTTGAGATTTATGTCCAATAATTTCAATAAATTATCTTATTTTTCATTTGCCATATATTTGTCTGCATTGAAGACAATGCACGCAAATATGTATTTATTGGACGTATAAATCATATTGAGTTCAATAATATACTGTACGTTATATTTCAAAGCATTTTTTGGCCAAAATCGTCTCAAACCCTTTCATTCATTTATATTTGCCATTTTTCAAACAACTCTTCATATCTCTTATACTTTTACTTTTACTATAACTTTAGAAAACTCTCGTCTTTTATGGCACTTGTGTTACATTTTTGCTAAAAAACTATTGCATTGAATATTATATAAGTATGTCTTAAGTGAACGAAA